CAGAATATTTTTATAACAGCTATGTAGTTACCAACATCGTTCGTTACCTCTCCTATATCTTCTAGTCTCTTATTTCTGATCATTTGTTTGAAATATCGAAATGTGACTTTCTATCATCCACAAATATACGGATGTTTTACAGGATGAGTAAAAAAGATTTAGAATGCAACCAAAATGTTATACAACAGTGTTTAATCCATCACTTATAACCAGATATGACTGAAAGAATAATTTTTATCACTTTTTGTTTCTGGAGAACATCCATTATCATTCAAAAATCATTGCTTGCGTTTAGTTCCAATGACATCGTAATACCAATATCAATCTCCTATAAAAACTTACAAAGTAATTCAGTAGTGAATACAATAAAAAACGGCATCTAAAAATTAATTGTGAATTGATTGAACCAAGTCAGTTCTTCATTGCTACAAAACTACTACATTATGCTTTATCCGATATTCTGACTCATTCAAAAGATTGCAAGAATGTTGGTCGAAATTAAATATAGAATTAACAATAACCAACTTTCTTTAATGAAAAGTAAAAACTCGATATAACTTCAATCTACGGCTTATGTGGATGTTGTCCATACACTTTTAAAACCTTTAACTAACAACATTTTGTTGATATTTCAGCCATTGATATACTGAACTCCTTTTGGTAAGATAAAATACTGATTTTATGATGAATGAAATACTCTTTTTTTGATATGTAGGAGAAAGAAAAAATACGGTCCAGCAGAAAAAAAGAACTTTACTTTGAACGGAATTTATGTAATTCGAAGCAATGTTATTATTAATAATCACATACAAAAAAGATAATTAACATATAAATATCTATATGAATTATATGAAATAAGATTTTATGGATCTCGATAAGACTAAATATAATAACTACGGTAATCTTTAACACGAATGGTCTATTTCCATGATAAAAATTAAATATCTATATTATTCGTCTCAATGCGATAGATAAACTGAACACTTATCTTTGTATGCAAAGACTTCTTCGAATTTGTGAAAAGATCCGGTTTTCAAGTAAAGCCCAAACCAAACTATACTCAGCTTTGACGTTAAATCTTTGTACGCTAATATCTAAACGAAAGAATTGAAGAGCCATGAAACTTTATGTTAAAATCGATTTGTTTCAATTTCTTACTCAAATATGCTTTCAAATCGACTGAACTAGTATGGGAAACATACAGACTTCAATCTAAACAGCTGTTGCTACAATGAAAAACGCAAATTCAAAAAATTAGTTTTTACTTTTACTAATCGATTTTAAAATGTAGTCACGATATGTTGACGTTTTGTTAACATTTTCAACGTCGCAAAACCGAAAATTCTCAAACTTCTGAAAAGGATTATTATATCAGACAACAATGCAATTGTTCCAACTGATATTTTTAGTTTTTGTGTTATTCTAATAAACATCTTACATACAAAAAGAGACTTATAGTAGAAATGCTCAACAGATGAATAGAAATTATGAGGTTTAATATTAGTTTTATCAAAAACATAGGAAAACCACTATTATTTTTTCTTTTATTATTATAGAATAGTGAATAGCCAGTCGATATTAGGAAAGCACTTAAAATATCACAATATTGAACATTGATAGAGTTTAATAATACTAATACATTGATCGATGTATCTATTTTTGTTTTACTGAATAGAAGCCTAACTTTTTCTTCTACTAGCAATTATTCTAGTATTCATTTGCAAAATTTCAAGAAAATTACTATATGATCAAGCAACTATATAGTTTTGTTTCTTACTCATTAGAGTACTATAAATATCTCGATTATCTCATAGATCAAATAAAGGGATCTCATCATAATATGAACTAAGAACTAAACTAAAAGAAACAATTGCAAAGTTTTCATGTGAAAAAAATATTGCTAAATGCTGTTGGTTTTTTTCTTGTCTTACTTATACTTCGAAAAAGATCTGACAATGAAATAGTGATAAACGACTTTCTGTAAAGTTCTGCTCAAAAACGTCAATTTTCGTCAAAAAAATGAAAATTGAGATATAAACACATGGGAAGATAACTCGAGATCTGATCTTTCATGAATGACATTATTTTTTAATTAGTATTTTCGTTTTTTTCAAAAATTTTAGATGATTTCTGCCATTTTCTTTTCGAAAAATACGGTTTTCCTTCAGAAAAAAACGAAAAAGCTTTTTTGAGTTTTTTTTCTGTTTATGCTTTTTTGATCGTACAACCCAGAACTCTCTATGGGTCTTTATTTTATATATTTGTTTTTTTTTATTTGAAAGAGCATGTCAAGACGCAAGACATGACAGAGGCCCTTTTTTTTGAATTAAGCTTTGTTACTTTTACATAAAAAAGAGTACTTTTATAATGAGAACGTCATTTTTAAAGAGTTGTTCGAGGCATTGCACTTTTTATCCCTTTTCTCCCCTTAAAAATGAATAACTTTTGAAAAAAGCGCCATCGTACCCTGCATCCTAACATATTCTTTCAAGCAAAAATTAATTCTATAGAATGAGCCTACAGCGATTTTTTGGGTTGCCAAATAAGCCATTTGTGAGCCTTGCTTGTTGAATATCTTCTGAAAACATCGTGATATAGAGCTGAAAAATTTTCTATATTCTCTTCATTACAGCTTCAGCATATTCTGAAAACTTCATGTGATTTGAATATACCTGGCTCAAAATCGATTTTTGAGGGGTAGTACTTAATGAACAGCTTGATACTCAACTGTTTGATGAATACTATCTAAATTAGAGAATAGAGAATTCGAAATGAGCTTATGAAGTTAGCTTAATCTGAATATATTAACATTGAACAACCATATAATGGTAAGAAATAAAATTTTTCATATTTATTGAATAATTTGCCATCAAGAAATATCCTTTTTCCAACAATTCTTTATTGTGTTTGTAGTTCAATATTTTAATGATGATAGTTTTATTTTCATTTATCATAAATATTTGATTGTAAAGTTTACTTCGACAGATTGAATTTCTTCTAACGATTTTTTGTCAAAAAAACCTTGATGAAATAAAAAAAAAAAAGAATTTGTATGAGTAAAAGAAACGATGTCTGGATAATTATTGTTTACTGAAGTAGTTTAAATAATAGATTTTTAAGACAAACAAACAATGAGCACAGAAGCAATGTAAAAACTACTAATTTCTAACACTTACGCAGAAACATGTATGAAGTAACAATGTGAGTGCATTTTTTTTTATTAATTATGTACTCATATAGTTTATGTATTTTATTCATTCTGTAAAGGTCAACTATTATCAACTCTGATTATGATTCTTTAATAGCTATAAAAAAAGGTAACTATTTATATAATAGAATATCAATGAGAATAAATATTATATCTAGAATCTATTTCAATTGAATTAATATTGAATGAATTACAGTAAGTTATTGAAACATTATATTTTTATTTCTTGTTTTTATTTTTTTCAGGAGAAAATCACAACAAAAAAAATGTCATTATATATTTAAACGATTATTAAGTATAGAACGATGTATGACAAAATTTGGTGTATTTTATCCAAAACGATTTTGGCTTGAATTATTTAAACTTGATTTTGAAATAAAATAAAATGATAAGAAAATATTAACTATATTTAAAATAATATTTTCTTAAACAATTATATCAAAAATATATATATATATATATGGATAAATAGAATCTTTTATTCATCTATCGAAACAAATAGTTCAGAATTATGTTTTTTCATGATAATTATTTGATTTGAACTAATATTTTCTTTTTTACATTCTTCTAGAAGAAAGATATTTTTCCTTAGCAAAAAGTCACGATATTCTACACCCAATATTGGCTGCTTAGGGTCACCATTAACAAGAGAACTACCATAACTGATATTCGCTGTTTGAACTTATATTAGACCTGCAGGCAAATCTCAATGAGAATAGCAAAAGCATAAAAAGGTTCATCTCCATGGTAGAGACCTGTGAGGAAATCCAATTCCAACTCCAATGGAGTCGGAGCCAGCAAAACGAAATTATAACGACCTATATTGAACTTTTGCTATTTGATATTACAATAACTTTATTCTCCATATTAACAAACAAAAAAAGCGAAAGACAGCACTTACTACATATACTAAGAATGAATTTCAGAAGAAAAAAAAAAGAGTCACCTTTTGGCTATAATATTCAAAAGATTAATCTCATAAAAACATGACACCATTAATCAAAAAATATTTCAGTATCATCCAAAGTATAATAATTTTCGTCATCATCAATTATCGATTGTTTGATACAGTAGTCCTGCATGAAGTCGACTCCGACGACGACTCCATGCAGAACTCTATTATTTGGGAATAATATATGTTGAATACTTCCTAGTTATTTTTTTTTAATTATTTTCACTACACAACAAATAACAAAGAAATTTAAAATTAATCTTTTAATGATTCTTTGACTTTCTTGTATTCCTTTGCTTGTTTATCGATTTATACATGTTCAGAGTTTTATGGAGTTGGAGTCGGATTTCGAAATAAAAAATCTGACTCCACAGGTCTCTATTCCATGGGCCTTTGGCTCTGAGTCATGACCAACTTGCTGGGCTTTCGACTCAATTTAGGTACTTCCCGAAAAACCTAAATAATGGAGTTCTAATGCGAAATTTTTACCCATAGATATGCACATTGTCTCTTAGAATATCCTGAAAGTTTCAGTCAAAAAGAATATTTCTTCGTTGAATTATTAAATTTTCAAATGAACTCAATTCTAGGTCCAATATGAGTTCAAACGACCGGCACCAATTGAAGTCATTCCGTCTTCTCAGTACTCATCACGCATTGACGACTGATATATAAGATATACAAATCGATTTTATTCTGCTCAAGTTATTTTCACAATAATTTTTGTTGATAATATTATTTAAAGTCTTAGCTGTTCTTTCCCAATATGATAAGTATATTTCTTCAGCAGACAAATTTTCATTCTAATAGAAGAAATAAACATTATACTAATATTTTTCAATGTCAACGGTGAGACATTTATATTCAATATCTGTTATACAATTTCCAAGTAAAAAATTTTTCGCCCGGCAAATTCATATTCATTTGATTAAAGCCCATTGGGTCTAGGAATTATTGGACCCGGACTCAAGTGATTAAAGTTTGTTGAACCCGAACCCGGTCGATAAAATTTTCCGAGTAGGACTCAATGGGCTCTACATTTGATTGTCGCTCTGGTTGAAGTAAAATATTGTTTTTGCATTCCATCAGAAAGTCCTACTAAACGATTCAAGTGCACAGTGACATAGGTTCTGACAATATGAATATGTCTTGTATTATTGTTAATAAAGATTAAAAAATTTTCATAGGTCAATTCATAGCAGTTGGACATTTTCACATGAATTATTAATTGTTTATTTCATGCTACTGAATGGAGGAAATTTTTCATCTTTTTTTAGCTTTAGAAAAATATCGATTTGATACTATTTTTTTATCATTTTCAATCTCATTTTTAAGATCTTTTATCTTTTGAACTGAGCTTATTTTTCTTCAATTTTAATAAGATATTTCAATATTGATAAATGTAAATCTATATATAAAACAAAGATTGAAGATGAGTGTTATAAGTCGATCACTAGAAAAAAAGAAAATTTTTTTTATTATTCTTACAATTCCATTAACAATATATGTCTCTTTGAGAAAAAAAAAATTGTTATTATTCAATTGACAATTGTATAGTAAATAATGATAAGTTTACAACTTTAGGTGTTATTCTCGAATTGTTAACTGCGATACATATTCAATTAGAATATAAACAAAAAGATTTTCATGACATTTAGGAAGAAATTTAATATCATTTTTTTTTTTTTTCTATTAACAAATAAGCTCATCAATAAAACGAGTTTATCTCATTTTCATTAATTAATCTCTAGAACGAATTTTAATTTGACTAATAACAAAAAAAAAAAAAAACATAATTTTCATATTTCTTTCATTCTGATTGGTACTAATAACTTGTTAAATGACGAATGATCATTTTTTTTCTCTCTCTTCTCTTATGAGCACTGCTAATTGGTTTATTTGTATTCAAATATCGACAAGCAAAAACATATATTATTCATTTTGATCTTTGCCTAAGTGTGTAAAGCCAAAAAAACAAAAATGAATCCACATAACCGTAAGTGAATTCATTTGACGTAATTTGTTAGACAACAATCGCAGCTTTCTTTTTGTTTTTTTTTTGGTGTTATTGTTAAATAAGTAATTTCTTTTCAAATATATTTATAGTCTATTATCCACAACATTCTGAATATTCGTTAGTTATGAATAAACATCAATTTCATGATTCCGGTATTGTTGATGAAGGTCTTTCTGATGAAACTGGTTCAATAGAAGATGATTTAAATCAACAAGAAAATTATATTGGTAAAACAAAAATAATAGATGAAAATGAAATACCAAAAAAACCCAATCAATCATATCTTGAAATAATTGCTGAAGCAATTTTAAAAACACCAAATCGTATGATGCAATTATATGAAATTTATAATTATTTTCAACGAAAGTAAAAATTATTTGAAAAATTTTTTTTGAAATTTTTTTGTATTTTCAAAATAGATATCGATATTTTGCTGAAGATGTTAATAAATCATGGAAAAATAGTGTAAGACATAATTTATCATTAAATGATTGTTTTGTTAAAGCAGAACGTGGAACAAATGGCAAAGGACATTGTATGAAGATTTTTTTGTAATAATTCAATAAAACAAAAAAAAAATTTTTTTTTTTTTTAGATTGGCGTATTCATGAATTAGCTGAAAAAGAACTTGAACAAGGTCGTTTTCATCGTCGTCGTTATCGTCAACAAATACGACAATTACAAATGCATAATCAATCGATGTCATCATTTTATCCTTCAACATCATATTATATGTATTCATCACCACCACCACCACCACCACCACCATCTTATCATAGTATTTATCCAACTCAAAATAATTCATCAACAACAATGACAAATTTTTGTATGAGAGAAAATACATATCCATCATATGATCCGTATTCATCATCTTATTATCAACAACAACATCCGATGACTTTGTCATATACAAGTCAAAATGAATCAGCATCATTTTGATGCTTTTGTTTTTGTACTTTATTGAAAGATTGAAATTTTATTTTTCTTCCTATATAGAATAAATTCTTTACGTTTGATATTCATTAATCGTAAACAACAGAAAAATGAGCGTAAATGATGAGCACACAAAATGTTTTTGAAGATGATTAGTTATGATAATTTAAAAGAAAAAACAATAGATATTGTTAAAATAAAGTTCTTGTCGGCAAAAAAATTGAATAGCTTATCGAAAAAAAAAGAAATTTTGCCTAGAGGTTGTTATCATACTTCACACGTAACTCAACATCATTTTCTCATTTAAACAAATAACAGCAGGAGGTATAACTATATTTTTTTTATATATTCATAATTGAGGTTAATCCGATATTCTATTCGTATACATATTCCTTATTTTTTGTCTGTGTGTCAAAATGGTTAACTAGATTAAATTAATATTGATATTTCAATTATTGAAACTAATTTACTTATGAAATTAAGGGAGGACTTTACCACCCTCTAGAGAGATGCGGGTCTATGTTTTTGTGAATCCGGACCCGGTTGAGCCCGAACTGGAGGATTTTTTCATAAATATCTAGCATCCTTCGTGTACATGAATAAGTAAAGAATCAAGATTTTAGCTATTTATTCGCTACTCTCAGAAAAAAAAACTCAACGTACAGTTATATCTTGTTACTATATTTTTCATCTAGCGAGCAGCGGGTCCACAAAAACGTGTAACCGGGTTCAACAAAAAATAACACTTTGGACTTGGCTCCGACAAAGAAATAACTTTGTGCTCGGATCCGGGTGTGGAAAGATCCGCAGCTTCCTTATCCTCCTTCCTCAGATGTTAATTTAGAGGAAATAAAACTGCATATACCCTGAAATTTTTATGAAGGATTGACTTGTTTTAACAGAGTTATGACTAAAGGTGGAGAATCTATCTGTGTACGTAACCGGTCGGTCGGGAAAAAATATCTTTCTCTCATAGGAAAAATTCCAGTTATGAGTTATCTATGACTTTTTCGAAGTGTCAGTATTGTCTACTTTTGTTTATGCTTATCATGCATCTAGTTTTTGTTAGATGGCGCCATTATATGTGCATCATCTCTTTCTTTCTAGCGAATAAATAGCTAAAATCTTGATTCTTCACTTGTTCATGTATACTGAAGGACGACAGGTATTAATGGAAAAACCCTCGGGTTTGAATCCACAGTTTCCTACCTCACATGTATTCTATATTAATATTATTTCATGACAGCTTGCGAAAGTCTGCTCTACTTTCGACAACATACCACATGAAATTTCACCATCGGCGAAATTTGGATTATCCTATCTAATTAATGCATAAAAAGAGAATATCATTTTTCATTACAGATAGAATTAGATAAATAGAATTTATTGATGATAATGTTGACGTTATTTTTTTATTGTCATTTTTTTCTTCCAGAAGAAATATCAAATGAATATATTCTCAGATGATAACATGAGAAAAAACGAAAAAAAAAACAAACAAAATCATCCACTTAGATTTTGTTGAATGCAACAATATCAACTGATTGAACAAAATCTTCGAATGCACAAATTTTTTCTTCAAGAAAATCGGTTCCAATCTAAATAGCAAAAAAAACAATATTTATGAAAGAACAAAAAAATAATTTACTTTATCATCTTCAACAACACAACCAATTTGTAATTTTTTAACACCAAAAGCAACTGGTAATAATTTAGCTATAAATAAAACAAAAACAAAAATTTATATAAAATTAAATTCAAATTTTTTTTTTGTTTTACTAACATTGTCCCCAAACAAGACCATCAGCTTCAATTGATCTTACTACTTTTTCCATAGCACCAAGATCAGTTTCATCATCCCAAGGTTTAACATCTAGTACAATTGTACTTTTGGCAATAACTTGTTCCTCTAGAAAAAAAAACAAAAAAAGGTTAATATTTATCCGATTATTTGAGAAATAAATCTTTTACTCTTTGATTTTTTTGCTGCATATTCAGCTAAACGTTTTTTTGTTTCTTCACTTTGTTCTTCATCATCAGAACCAAATAAATCAAGATCATCATCAGCAGCAGCTGCAGGTTTTTTTGATTCAACTGGTTTCTAAAAAAAACAGATACTAATTTAATTAAACTATAAAAATAAAGATACCAAGAAAAAACAAATCTTATTTTATAAAGGGGATTAAGAAAAAAAAATCTTTCATGTTTTGTTTTTTTTTCCTTCTCTAAAATATCTATAGATAGATATCTGACCGCACAAATCGTTTGTTTGTTTAATTCAAGTTGTTCAACACGTCGTTTAAGATCATCGAGCATTTGTAAAATATTTTTATGTGTTGTTTCAATATTTGCTAGACGTTGTTCAGTATTCATATTCATTTCATTAGATGTTATTGTTGTTGGATTAGTTTGGTTAATCATTTTTCTGACATCATGAATTTGTTTACTTAAACTTGCCTGCAAGATTGATGAAAATATTTATGACATGTTATGTACAAATATAAATGCACACCATGCATATAGGAATAAAGGTTATATATGATAGAGAAGCATTAGGGAATTCTTTAGGGCAAAAAAAAAAAAAAAAAAAAAAACTTCACGATATGATATTTTATGTTATTAGAGGATTGAAAATCGGACCTGTTCTTGTTGTTTTGGTGGTTCAGTTTTTTCATGTTTAATAAATGATGTTGTAATATTTGGTTTTTCACCCTATGAAATATTATATAATTTTAATAGAAATTAATAAATTATTTTTGAAAAATTACAAAAACATTGAAATGTGTTTGTTCAGCAAGATCAACTTCATATTTAGGAAACCAAGTATTAACATGCATTAAATGTTCAAGCATTGTTTTTTTGCAGTTTTAAGAAGGTTAACAACAAGTTAAAAAAAATCTAAAAATTGCAAGAATAAAATATATACATGTTTACAACATGTTGAAATTTATGATGTAATATCTGTAAAGTAATTACGAAAGAAATGATTTTTATTTTGTTTATTAAAGTTGTGCTAATTGTCCTTCAAGTTCTTTAACACGTTCACGACTTCGTTGTAATTCTAAATTATTTTTTAATTCATATAATTTATTTCGTGTTGTTTCTGTTCTCATTGAAGCTAAATTAAAATCTAACCAAGCTCCATAACATGAATCTTCATGTGGTAAACCAGATGATATACGTTCTAAATTAGCTACACTTGCATGTAATGATTGTTGTACTGTTTGTGCATTTTCAGAAAAACTTCGAGCTAATGATTCAATTTGTTCACGTGGAATTTGTTCACAACTTAATTGTTGAACAATATTACCAGCATTCCATAGCATTGTTGTTAATTTACCTTCAGCTGTACGTAATTGTTCAAGAGTTTGAGATGTTGTATTTGTAAAATCCGTCATAATAGAAGAAAACAAATAAAGAAGAATAACGACAATATTTCACTAGGACTTAGTCAACAGAGCCTATGATCAATTAATGATTGGTTAACAAAAAAAAAACATTTTTTTATTCAATAAAAATGTTAAATAAAAAAAAATAAAAATACAAAATTTTTTAATTTAGCTTTTTTTTCTAAAAAAGAATTTCATGATAAAATAAAATTTCATTGGTTAATCAACTAGCCAATTAAAACATTATAGATATTTCAGTAAGAAAGAACGTACGTACAAATATTTCACCAATATTTCCAATAGTTAGTGCGTCAAATACAATTCAAATGTACAAAACATCTTCTAGTTCTACTATACATGTTGTTAGTATTCGTTTAGCGGATATTCCTTCCTCATAAAAAGTGTTCCACTGTGTGATGTTATAACATCACACGATGGAACATTTTTTATGAAGGCGAACACCAGCTAAACGAATATCACTTGGAAGTATTCTCCAGAGGTAAAAATCGATCGTTTTTGTTTTTTACCTTTTTATCAAGGTTTATAGAACCCTGAACACTAGCACTCTAGTTTTGAAGCTAAACCATTACGTATTTTTTCCATAAAAAAAGAAAAATTAGATTTTTGAAAAAGTTTAAAATTACCTCTCAGCAGTCCTATGAAAACTTTGTTTAAAATTTTTTTCTTTGAACACATGCCCGTGTATTTTAAGTTCTCTATCTGTACTAAAAAATCAGTTATACTCTCTTGGAAAACTAGAAATAATTAAAGAAGAAGAGTGAAGACTCCTAAAATACGTAATACCACCGTAAATTTAAGCTGTTGCTAATTCATGGGAAAAAAAAACTTTAGAAAAGCTTGACTCCGCAAATTCACTATTATTTATCAGACCTGGAATCAGTTCGTATATGTCTTTTTTAAACGCACTGAACCGATTAGATCTAATACTGATACACAAATACATTTTTTGCGGTTTGAACTTTTTGAAAAATTGTTTCCAAATTAAATGATAAAATCAGTGCATTTATTAAATTTTGATAAAGAAAAATTTGAATATAATTTTTAGATTTTTTGAAAAACTTTTGTAAACGTAATATTCAATTATTTAAAGACAAATGGCAAAACATCATCCAGATTTAATATTTTGTCGTAAACAAGCTGGTGTTGCAATTGGTCGTCTTTGTGAAAAATGTGATGGTCGTTGTGTTATATGTGATTCATATGTTCGTCCAACAACTCTTGTACGAATATGTGATGAATGTAATTATGGTTCATATCAAGGTCGATGTGTTATATGTGGTGGTCCAGGATGTTCAGATGCATATTATTGTCGTGAATGTACAATTACGGAAAAAGATCGTGATGGTTGTCCTAAAATTGTTAATTTAGGAAGTGCAAAAACAGATTTATTTTATGAAAGAAAAAAATTTGGTTTTAAAAAACGTTAAAAATATATTTCTTTACTATAAAATAAAATAAATAATAACGTTGTAATATAATTCTAGATATAATATGGATGATAAAAAGAAACGTAAAGTTAGTTTTCAGGATATAAATGATGAACATAAAAAACAAAAATATACGACACAAGATACACGTTTACATAGTGGAAAATATACATTAGATAGTGATGAAGATGATGATGATGATGCTGAACAAGGAAATGTTAAAGAAATGAATCAAAATGATCTTGATGGTTTGTTTCAATAAAAAACAAAAAAATTGTTCTTTTTGTTTTTATGAAAAAAAAAATTTATTTATTTTTCTTTTCCAGAAATTGGACAAGAAAGTGCGACAATTGGATTTGATGATGATGTCAAAATAACACCATTTAATATTGATGAAGAATTAGAAGAAGGACATTATGATGAAACAGGTTGTTATCAATGGAAAAAAAAAGATGTATGTATACATATACTAGCGTGAACGTGTGCATAGTACGCGGCAGCTTTTTTTTTCTTTAACGTATGACCTCAAACCTTTCACTCGGTAAACGGCACTCGATATTATATACATAGAAACCCTACGGCGTGATATCTTTATATCGCTCATAGCCCGTGTAGCCTTACGGCCTTATATTTCTTGTAGTCTTACCACTTTATAACCTTACTCTATTATAGCCTTATCCATATTGCCTTACTCCCATAGCCTTATTCGACCTCTGACCCGGCATAGACACACTGAACATTATATATATATAGGTTTCTTTCGAAACATGCATTCACCTTTAAAACATTGTGCAAGGTTTTTTTTTTAATGAATTTAATCTATTCATAATAGTGCGAAACATTGCACAGTAGTCAATTGCAAGCACATAAATCGAAATCGCTATTTTGTGTCGCGATGATATAAAGAAGAAGAATACTTCTGCTTTTCCGCTTCCTTGCAGTATGGAATGCTACCTAGCAGAGATGTCCATTGCGGCTAGAAACACGCTGTTGCTGCGGCGTAGTCCTAAAAGGAGCAAGGCTTAGTACCGCGGTTCTAGAAAGGGTGTTTACAAAATTAATGCGAAATATAGCTAATACTGTACAAAAATCAGTATAAATAATGGTAAGATGTCCATCATCAGATGTCGCTAATGCAGAGCAAAATTTACTCTACACGCCACTTTTTAGGGGAGTACCGCATAGAGAACCATTTTAGCATGGAAGTTTTATTGTGTGATGGCATATACAGGGTGGTCCAAAAGTCACGCATCAAACAAAAAAATTGAATATCTCCATTACAACTCAAGCAAATTAGCTGAATTTTTTATCAACGATAGAGCCATGTTCAAGGTTTATATTCATAAAGACATGCCTAGAGAGATCCTTTATTAAGTATCATTATTGACCTCAACAAGAAAAATTTACTTTTTTACAGTTAGAAAAAAAAGTTACTTTGTCGAAAAAAATTGAATATCTCCACTATGGCTCGAGTTAACGAGCCGATTCTTTTATCAATGATAGAGGTATGTTCAAGCTTCATATCCATAAAGACATGCCTAGAGAAGCCCTTTGTTAAGTATATTCTTTTCTATCCTATCTATGAAAAAGTAAAATTATTTTGTTGGGGTCATTAGTGGTACTTTATAAAGGCTCTCTCTAATATTGTCCGTATGGATTTAAAGTGTGACCATGCTTCTATTATTGGTAAAAAAATCAGCTCGTTTGCTCGAGCCGTAGCGGAGATATTTAATTTTTTCTTGATATCATGAGTTTTAAGCCATATACAGGGTGGCCCAAAAGTCAGTTTACCAAAATAGAAATTGAATATCTCCATTACAGCTCGAGCAAACGAGCTGATTTTTTTACCAATAATAGAGGCATGTTCAAACTTCATATCCATAAAGACATGCCTAAAGAGACCCTCTGTTTAGTATACTGTTTTTCTTTCTATCTGTGAAAAATTAAAAATTTTCTTGCTGAGGTCATTAATGATACTTAACAAAAGGTCTCTCTAGGCATGTCTTTATGAATATAAACCTTGAACATGGCTCTATCGTTGATACAAAATTCAGCTCGTTTGCTTGAGTTGTAATGGAGATATTCAATTTTTTTGTTTCGTGCGTGACTTTTGGACCACCCTGTATATTTATGATTAGATTCATTACGAAACAGTTTCGTGCGAAAATGGCCTGTATTTAGTACTCCTCTAAAAAGTGGCGTGTAGAGTAAATTTTGCTCTGCAAAACCTGCTATATGCCTAAACTCTGCGTTAACGATATATGATGATGGACATTTTAGTATTATTTGTACTATTGTTTTGCATAGTATTAGCTATATTTTGTATTAATTTTATGAATGATTGATCTCTTCAACATTACATTCTATAGAAGATGTTTAGAAAGAAAGAAGACTGATCGATTGAATTTACTCTATGTTTATTAGAAATTTAATGTGAAATAATTATTTAAAGTCAGATAAAGTTTTTTTCTTTTATGATTCTAAAGATTTAGAAATAGTTTGAACATGTTTTACAGTTCATTTTATTAGAAAATATCTTTGTTTATGAAGACTTGAGACTACAAAATGTAATTATTTCATTATTTAGAAAGATGAAGTTCATGATGCATGGCTTGATGAAATTGATTGGACAAATGTTAAAAATTATAAATTAAAAAATCCCGATGCAACAGGAGATGATTTTGATGATCAAAAAAAATCTAATTTATCTAATGATGATGATGAAATAGATACAAATTCATTTAATAAAATAAAAACACTTCAATCAATGCTTGCAATTATGAAACCAGGTGAAACTGTTGCTCGTACAATAAAACGACTTGGAACAATTATATCTAAGTAAGATAAAAATTCTTTTTTTTTTTTAAAAAAAAAAAAGAAAAATAATAAAATATTTTTGTCAAAAAGATTTATTTATTTAGTAATAAACCAAAACAACAATGGAAACAACGTAAATTACTTCCTGGTGAAATTCAAACAACAAATACTATTGAACAAACACCAGAAGAATTAAAAAAAAATAAACTTTTACTTGAAGAAATGTCTGGTCTTGCTGATCAATTTGTATCTAATGGTGAACTTGATATTTATCAAGAAACTTATGAACGACTTAAAATACAACTTGATCATCTTCAATCATCAAAAGATTCAACATTTGATATGTATGGTGATAGTGATATTTCATCATCTATAAATAAACCAACAGACACAAATAGTAAAACAAAAAAACAATTTTTTTATTTTAAAATAAAGCAAAAATAAAAAAAATAATTTTTAATTTTTTGTTAAGGTTCATCAAAAGTTCTTTGGGAATATACAACAAATGTAAATTCAATTGAAAATCTTCAAGGTCCATTTACAACTGAACAAATGATTCGTTTAATAAATACTGAAGGAAAATTAGATAAAAATAAAGTATCTTGCCGTCGTGTTGGTACTGAACAATTCTATTCAATCAAACGTATCGATTTTGATCTTTATCTTGATTAAAAATGTTCATTTGTAAATAGAAAATTTTTTTTCTTCTTATTCATTCAAATAAAAACAGCAACTATTTCTCATCATCACACATTACTTTATTAATTTCTCATGCAAGATTGAAACTATTGCAGGTATAGATCAAGATTTCGCACGATTGCTTCGTGCCATCGCTTACGTCGCGTTCAATCTTTCGATTCGTCTTTAGGACAATGTTTTATAGGGGTTGGGTACAGTATGGGACTATCTCTTGGAACATTTTAAAGGACTTATCCTAGCTTTTATAGCGGTATTAAGATTCATTTAAGGGTATTCGCTTCTTTTTTTTAACCGTTTCTCGTTCTTGAAGACAGTACACCCGATCAAGCTGAAGTATTTACATTATAAATAAAGAGACGTGTGTTCGAGGGAAAAAAAATTTGAGACGGATTTGTGCTGAGAAATCCTGGTTTTTATAGAACAGAGAAAGACGTAAAGGTTCGATACCAAAAACCAGACTTTTCACTTGGGTAGGGAAATCAAAAATGAAAAAGATCAATTTCACCCCTGGGGAATACTTTCAAGTGTCTGTGCTCAAAATTTCAGTCCGACTGAACAGAGTTAGATGGAGATTATAAGTAACTATGATGCGACTCTATGAAAACTAGAGTTTCCCAGCAAAAACTCATTTCAAAAATTTTTTTCTAGAATAAGTGTCTCCCAGAGGTCCAAACAGGTCATCGAACCTGTCTGCCTGAAACAGACACAGGCTGTTTATTTTTTGAGCAAGAAATCTACTTTTAAAAAATTAATTTGCAGTACCTTTAATGGTGAAACATAAAAAATGAGTTTTTTTTGTTTTAACTAGAAATAATTGTGACTAATACTATATTATGATGATATTATTCATGGTTTATTTATTTATGGGATTTATATATTCATTCAACTAAATCACTGCTTACGCAAAAAAATTAAATGAAGATTCAGATTAAAATTGATTATTAATAGATCAGAAATTTATCTTAATCAAAAAAATAAACATTCTATTGATTCTTCTGATTGATTGCAATTATAGTTGATTAGAAATTGATAAAAAAAAAGCTATTAGCACAATTCCCGCGAGATTAAAATGTAAAACACGATATATCCATTGTTGCTAATCCTCTAAAAACTTATGTATATTTGGATATATTTCGTCGATAATCCTTACCTTACCGCATAAAACTTCAACAAGGAAATACTCCATATATAAGTTAGTTACACATAACCTCTAATAGTTCTTTAAAATCGTCTGTCATCATCTATGATGGGTCCGAACTCTGTCTGTGGTTCACAAAATATAACATTTTAATATTTCATACTGTTTTACAATCTCTGATGCTATCTTGTGATCGCTATAACTAGTATACATAGAAGACAATAATATTGTTTCATACAATTTAACTAATATAGTCAAAGCAATGAACTATTCTTATTAATATTCACATTCAAATGTTTTGAATCAACAAAAAATATTCTTTTTCTCTTTCATTTTTTGAGTTTTTTATTTCATAGCATGATGCTTCTCGTTAAAACAATCAAGACAAAAAAATTTGTCACAATCAGTTCAAAAGATTTTTATTTTCTTTACTATCAGCGTACTCGCTTCTCTTGATTGTTGTTTTCTGCTTTTCTTGTAGCAGCTAGCACAGCGCGCAGATCCTTCCTTTTCTTCGAGCTTGTGATCGGCGAGTTTGCACTTCGAACGACTTGCTGATTGTTGTCTCGGATCAAGTTTCAGTTTCTCAAATAGCGTACGGAGGAGTAAAGATTGTACAAGACTTTCACGAAACTGCAGAATGGTCAAAACTAGTATGTGATACATAGATATAACAAACAGAAAAGAGAAAACAACGAGACAGCACAGAACGAAAAAGAACAACTAATGCACACAAAAATGAATCTGTTAGAGCTATTCTATAATAAAACTGAAGCTAAAACTAAATTTTCGGCAAAAAATTTAGTTGACTCCGTCTAGGACTCTACTCGGATGAAGGCACCGTAAGAAAACACATAGGCAGTAAATCATTGAAAGTAGCGCTACTTTCAATGTATTGTAGTTCAGACTAGAAAAGATTGTGATAAACTCTACATAATGGTTGTTATCTTATTTTTAGACGAAAAAAAATATTTTGATGTAACTAGTAATAATGTTCAATATAATCAAACATATCATACAATTGATACATCTAACATTTAGGTACATAAAAATGAATAATCAAAGCTTTATCTAAACGAATGTATCAATAAAAGATTATTACTATTTATTGAAAAACATCATAAAAATAACAATTTTTGTATTCTGACTGAATAAAATTCGTGTATATTATGCTAGCATTATCCTTAACTGATTAAGCGAAAAAAGAAATTATGCTTAAATTTGATAATATGCCTCAGGCACATCCGATTGAAACTACTTGGAGTAAAAAGTGCACGTAAAAAAATTGAATTGATATAAGTTGTAAACTATGATAACGGACGTTTGAAAACAATTACGAGATTTAAATTCTACTTGTTAATTTTAGTTTTTTTTTTTTTTGTACTTTGAAACATTCTTTTCCATGAAAAACAAAAATTGACTCCCAACGATGTTCTTGGTCGAATAATTAATTATGCCTGGACAATTTTTTTTTGTATTATAAGTTAATTGAAAGAGTACTAAATATAATATAATTAAATTTAAATGAAAGGAAAAAAAAATTAATTAGAGATAAGCAATGTAGCATAAAATGTTTGTCTTACATAAAAAGAATTATTTCTGCTATTTGCAACGACTTAATTACTGTGGTTGATATTTCAGATACAAAGGATAAAAATTCATTAAAATATTTGAAAAAAAACAAACAAACTTGTTTAAAAATAATTGATTTTAAAAAAGCTAAATTATGTTTATTCAAGAATTCTACATTGATAAAATAATTAAATCAATTATGTTATTATATCGAAGTACTTTTCTATTCATTTCTACATTGAACTTTCAAGTATATTCCAACATAAGAAGGAAAGATGAACCTAATGCTCGACAATTTACACACAGTAAAATAATATTACTTATAGATTAGTCATTAATCGTTTAAATGTAAAGAAATTAAACAATATAGAACAATAAGCAAGAACTACTCAGATTACATTGATATAGAAAAATCACGAATGATGATGCACTGGTTTATTTCTTGTTTCATATTTCAACGTTAATTATTTTCTATAAAAGATAAAAATGCTGTAGGTTAAATAATTTTTACAATCGTTTTATTTTCTATCATGAAGACATATCTCTATTTAATGAGAATCGATTGATCATTTTCTATCTAATAGATATCTTTTTTCTATTTTGGATGATTGAATTCGAGAAATGAAATGTCATATTGAATTAAATATAATTCGAAATAAATCTAGACAATTAAACATTTTCAAGAGTTTATAAAGCTTATAAGAGATAACTATGTGTCGAAGAATTTCGATGTAAAAATTCCATTTGATTGAAGAAACAGTGGGCTCATAAAAATTCATTCATATTTCTCGTAATAAAATCGTTCACTAAATAATACAATAAATTATTATTGATTTTCTTTATTAGTTGATAATCTGATTCGGACAAATATGTGTCTATGTTTGTATTTTTGATTAGATTATATATATATATATATATTAACATATAAAATAGAATAATAATAATAAAAAAAAACACACAAAGATAATATGATATAATACATGACCTCAAGACAAAATAGTTTATTTGAAAAAAAAATAAATAAATAAATAATTTCCTATTCTATTTCCTTCTATAAATCGAAGATAAAATTTTTAGTAAAAGAAATATATTTAACACAATAGAAATTTTATTGAAGTAAAAATGCATAAATGATCGTTTCAATTTAAAAAATATAAATGTCAAAGTTCATAACAAATTTAATGTATCAAAAGTAGAACTATTTCTAAAAGCTTTTCTTTTTCTCATTAAATAGATATGGTACGTTTTTAACCTCTAGATTTTCTAGTGTGAAACTTAATGAAGGAAATTAAATAATTACTAAATTTTTTTTTTATCATCATCATTCATCTATCAGCATGAAATAAGAAAGATAGAAAATAGTATTGATAGACATGCACATAACTGAGACGACACTATATCCTAGTCGAGTAAACGGAAGTTCATCATGTATAGAAACATGAATTTTTCAACTAATAAGTCACAATATGTTTTTTTTTCCTTCTATTCTCATAATAATTGCCTTAGAGTTGAACGTTTATTTTTTTTTAAGAGTACAACTTATAGTTAGTATGTCTGTTATTCTCTTGAGTATTGGATCTATTACTTAATTATTCACCTCATGACATTCATTCATTCATTCATGCATTCTCCACCCATTAAAGAATAATGTTGATTTTCGTTAATTACTTTTTCTTCTCCCTATTGATTATAGTTTAGAGAGTTTGAGATAATTATTGCCAGTAATATATTTCATTGTATTTGACTAGAATTATTTATTTTTAATCAAATCTTCTCTAATTCCCCTTGATATACATTCTTAAATCGAGAAAAAAACTATTCAACAAATACAAATAAATAAGAAGAATTTCAGTTCAAATCCTCAGTATATTGGTATGTAAATAGTTCATTTATTTATTTGAATTGAGTAATAATAATAATAATAATAACTTAAATGTAGCTGAAAATGATCAAAGAATTATTATTGTTCTCTTCCATCAAATAGATTTTTTGGAATAAATATCAGTGAGTAAATATCACTATTGAATGAAATCATGTGGAAAAATAATTCTTTTCTTCTACAATAATGAACTTAAACCGTTATTGCCTAGGCATTTACTATTTCCTTCGAGATAAAAAGACAGGGCATATTTTTCATTTATTTTATTTTTGTTACGCATAATAAATGTTCTGTAATTATAAAGTTACCGCCTAGAACTAATTAATGTTCATGGTTTTTTAATAATTATTAATATTATTTCTTCTAGGTTGCGGATTATGTAGGTGTTTATCTCGAGAGAGAATTGGCTTGAAAAAATATTTGTAATTAATAGTAAAAAGCAACTGGTTAATCTCATTTTTTCTTTTTTTTTTCGTATGTATATATAAGACATTGGTATACTGATCATAGAATGATTTGGTTAGTTAGCTATTTTTCGAAAGAATCAGAACATAAGATAAGCAGGAAGCATATATAGACACCAATGTATATGGCATACATGTTTGTGCTTCCGCATCATTTTTCTTTTAGATCTAATAGTATGTGTGAAATAATCCTATAGTAAGATCACTTTTATACTAATGAGTTTCCTGGGCTTATATTTCTTCTATATTATTTGTTATCTTCTTTTGCCAAGTTATGATAAATTCTTCGTCGAATAGACAATCATTATAGTCATTCTCATATTCATAAAACTATATATGTTCCCTTTTTTTTTTTCATCGTTTTTTTTTTTTCTTATTACACATTTGTTTTTCAACTATCATTAAGAGAGAGCACCAACAATAAGGGATGAACAGGCGATGTGAACTAATCAACATTAAAAAAAAAAAATAAGAAAATAGATATAGAACACAATATAATTTACATCCTAATACAGTTTTATTATTTTGTTTTCTCTCTTTTTTCTGCTCAACATATATTTTTTTATCATTCTTACTATTTATCTGATTGGTAAGATTTTTTTTTGCATATAATAGCGATGATGAACATGATAATTCTGCTTCAAAAATTACCAACAGGCTAATCAATTCTGACTTGCAATTGTCTTTGAGGGAGGAGAAAAAAAAAGGGAAGAAAAAAAGAGATTTAAATGACAAATGATCATCATTTGCTTGACTAGATGAACATGCCAAGAAAGTCAGCAATAACAAAAAAAAACAGAAAGAAAGAAAACCTTTTTTTTTGTTTTTTGAGTATAAGCATTTAAAATTATTATTTGTATTCGCATAGTTTGATTATTGCAGGTCGTCCTCATCCTTTTTCATATTGGGTTCCTCTTCATTGACATCATCATTATTTCATTTATCGCAATGAAAGCTCAACTATTTACCTTTATGTTATTTACAATTGGCGTTCTTTTGTTTCAATCAGCATATACGGTAATTTTAGACAGAAAAAAAAAAGATCTATAAATTTAGAAATATTTGATTTCTTTGTTTAGTACCACTTTCGAAAACGCGAATTAACTGAATATGATGTATGTATATTAAACCAGTTTCTTTTGAGGGTAAAATATTTGTTCATATTTAGTTAACCAGTTTTATAGTCAACACATGCTCTGCCGATAAGATCGAATTGCTTATTCAAAATCTTTGTGATCAAACATTACAATCGGCACTTATGGGCGTAAGTATTTTTTTTCTCTCAAATTTCTTTTTAAATCAAAACATACATCATGGATCATATTAGTCATCATCAAGTATTATATAGAAAAAATAGAAGAGTTGATTTTGTTGCTGATACATTAACATTCGATCATATTTGACTATTTTGTTTTTCTTATTTAGAGTTTTCCATATTTAACATATTATTGCAAAATGATCGGTTCTGGAAATAGATATTGTGACAATATCAATCGATATATATTGGCAGAGCAGAACATTGAAACTCACGTAATTTAAATAGACAAAAAAGAAAAAAAAAGAATAATTTTGAATATTTATTTTCAAAATAGGCATTAATGTCTCGTCGATTTGTACGAAGTCTTTATAAAAAGAACGAATTATATCAAAATCGAGAGGAGACGGATACAGATATAGACGTATGTTTAGTTAAATAAATATTTATATTAGAAAAAAAAAAAAAAAATTCTTTTTTTCTTTTGTTTAGCTCAAACAAAAAATGATTCTCGAAATATGTATGACAAGTACAGAAAAAAATTCAATAGAAACACATCGGTTTTGTAATCAAACATTAAAAGATATTCAGCGAGGAGTATGATAAATTATAATCTTGAAATCTTTTCTTTTTTTATTTTTTTCTATCTACTATTATTAAATGGTTTTTTTCTTTTTCATCTATTTATTATTTTAGCGATACCCTGAAATTAAACGTCTTTGCAAATCTTATCCTGGTTTTAACTATTGCCAACGTATTCTATCATTTTCATCCTTATTATCTGAGCCATTATCAAAAGAATCATCATCTCTTTTATCATCATTGCCTTCTACTACACCTAATATTTATCGTTCGTCCGTACCATTAGAATTTTCCAAATCGTCTGACGTCGAATCGATCATCGATCAACAAAGGATGAATAAATCACCATTATCATAATCAATACACACAAAAAAAAAAAACAAAATCGATGTGTAAAAGAATCTTTTCTCTAAGTTCTTCAAAAACGTCATCATCATGTCAGAAAAAGCATATAATAAAGAAGCCGAAGTACAGCAAAACATGTCAAAAAAACAAAAAAAAAAAAAAAGTATATCTAAAAAAAGCAAATATTCTTTTCGTTTGAATGTATATCTAGAATTCGTCTCTTATAATAATTCCTATATCTGCATCTGTTGTTTCGTTCATTTAAATTTAAATAAGAATAACAATGAAAAAAAAAAAAAAAAAAACAGAAATTTTCAAAATCATACAATCGTCATTTCTTTGTTCGAGTCATCCTCCGATATTTAAGCTTTATGAGATTTAAATTAAACAGTCATAAAGATTGAATACCAAAGAGGCAACTCGTACAAATATTTGACTAAAAAAATATTCTGAACATAAATTAATCTACCATCTGATAACATACATACATACCCGCTAATACACATGATTAGAATACTTCTGTTAAAAGCAAATATGAATATATGCAAAAAAAAAAAAAGTACAGAGTAAGCCACAGCAGGCGACAACCATCATTTAGTGAAGTGACGAAGCATGTTGAAATATGTCTTACTTTTTTTTTTTCCTCCATTGCTTGTTCGTTATTATAGTCATCAAATCCAATCTCAAAGAAAAACAAAACATGCAACTTTCGTCTCTTGCCGATCACATTACGTGTGTTTAACTACTTTACAATTGTAGTCCATAAAAAAAAAAAATATGTATATATATATATATATACACCTGATCGTTTCTATATATTTTCGTTGGCGGCATCTCTTTCTTTCAATCAACATTGTTGAAAACAATTATTTTTTTTATTCTAGCATACATATATATATATATTTGAATGGTGAGAAAGAAAAAAAAAGAATTTGATTTCGTTCTTTCAATACAATAGGTATTCATAATTGTCGTAAATAGCACGTTAGACATCAAAAGATCAGCATATGATTGTTCCTAAATATTGAATTTAATACGACAAATGTTTTATGTATATATATTGGCATGTAATTGAAAAAGAACGAATACGACAGAATAATAATCACGTTTATTGTTTCTTGATTCAAATACATTTAATGAATAGAGAAACAGAGAACATAGTGCTTACAAATGAAAAAAAAAACATGTGGAATAGTAAATTCACTTTTGATATACATACACGTAATACTAATTTTTTGTATACAGAATGGAATGACACGATAGATCGAGTATTCGAGCACTAATAGCAGCATCAATAGTAAAAAAAAAAAAAAAGAAGTAAGAAGTTTAGAACCCCTATTTATACACATATTGAAGAACGTATAGTTTAGTTTACCAAAAGAATAAAAAAAAAAAGAAGTTTTATTGTCAATGCAATCATTTGAGCAAATTATGATATGCAAAAGAGATATATATATATATAAAGATTCAGAAATTTAAAAAAAAAAGTACTTTGTTGCTTAAGTTATTGAGACAGTAACTGTATTGCAAATATATAGAAAAGATGAGCAGAAGTTACATAATAAAAAAAAAAAGAGAAAATTATGTGAAATATGAGATAGAACGACTTCATTGGAAATTCTTCATTATAATGTATTCAAAGATCTTCTACAATAAAATTAAAAAAAAAGATAAATAATTTTTTATTTTTATTTTTACTTACTGTAATGCTCTATATTTTTCTTTTTCACTAGCAGTTGCTGGTGGTTCACATTCGAATGATGCGAGCATTAGAGCTATATAAAACAAAAACAAAACTTAATAACTAAAATAATTTAAAAAATAAAATTTACAATCTTCATTGAATGTTGGAGATGTAATAATATAATTAATAATGACATCGTTTCGTTCAAATGAACACTTCAAAAAATAAAAATAGTAATTAGAGAACAAATTCGAAAGTGTTTAATCGATTTATTCATAAAAGAACAATAGTTTAAGAAATGTCAGTTCGCTATGACACAATTTCATGCTCTTATTGTTCTTATTTCTATGTTACTAAACATAAGATATTCAATTATAGAAAACACATCAGACGATCAGAGACTAAGTGAAAGTTTCAAGAATGGTGACAACGGGGGAATTGTATAGGAACATATTTTTATTCAAAAAATTTTCAATTATTGAATAGATGTACACCCAACACACTTGCTTTCGTGGTAAATATTTCTGCGCATTAGAAAAACCTATTTCCTTTGTAGTATATGAAAAAAAAATTCCACATTAATCATTATTGATGCTATTTTACACTGAAAAAGTTATTAAGTAAACAATTGTTTTATTAATGTAACTAAATGTAAATCTCTAGAGAATTTTTATTTGAACTATATATTTCAACCTTAATAAATTAATCTTTAAGAGTACAAACTATAAAAGTTGTTATATTATTAAGAAGACATCGAATTAAATGTCTTTGTATTATATAACATACTTTACTCTGTTTACATTGTACAAATTCTTCAGAAATAAATTTTGCCATTGAATAATATTTCTAGAAAAATCAAAATAAAAGTTAAATATTTTTTGTTGATTAAATAAATAGAAAAAAAAAAAGAAACCAATCACTTTTAAATTAATTCCACCAGCTGTTGTATAATCTTTACTATGTGTTTTTATATAATAAACATCTTGTAAAATAATACTAGTAAATGGTATAACAATTTTATCTGTTTTCCATCCATGTTTTTCAGCTTCTTCCATAGCTACTTTAAGTATAAGACGATATGTAGCAAAATTTTTTGATACATCCATATACTGTTCAAGTTGTTGAAATTTTTCTAATTGAATTTTTTCCCACTAAAAAAATATTCGAATTTTTATTCATTTTAAGAATTAAATATATATATATTTATTTACAGTTCTTTTTAATCGTCTTATTGGTTGCATATTTAAACCACCTAAAGATAAATTAATAAAAACAAAAAAAAAATTAAATTAGAATAAGAATGATATATGCTTTGATTTCTTTTTTTTTTTTGTTCTATGAGTTTTAACTATTGAGATATAAGTAAATCTTGACAGGGGACTCAAAAAAGAAAAACTTTTGTCGAGAGGCAAAAAATATTATTTTTCTCAAGAACACTCTATTTCCTGTCGACATCAATATAGTACTTGAGAGTGATAGCCTAAGAATGAAGAATTTACACTAAAAAAAAAAAAAAAAAAGTGATAGAAGATCATTTTGCGATGAAAATTGAAAAAAAGTTTGCCAAAAAAAAATATTTTCAAATAAAATCATCTTACCAAGTATTCCAATCATAGAATTAAAATTTTGTATACGAAAACATTCATAAGCAGCATCAATAAAATAATTAATTAATCGTACACGTGAACGTCTTTGTGTATGTTTAACAATTTCTGTTGTAATAAAAAATGTTAATCTATTAAACCATTGTATATAAGCTTCAAGACAAAATGTTAATTTTTTATCATGTACTAAAGCTTGTGTTTGATTATTTGAATATTCAATATTTGATGTTGATGATTCAATTGAATAATTTCTATTTGGATGTGCTCGAGCTTCTTCGGATGCTAATTTCATTATAAAATATTGTATTAATTCTTCAGCACCAACTGGTTTTAATCTATCCTACGAAAATAAACAAAATTAAAAATATAGTCGAGTTATTCAATAATAATACCAGTTCTATATGAGTTAATTGTTGAGCGAATAATATTGATGTTGAACATTCATTCATAATGTCCGTCTAAGAAAGAAAACAAAAGTTTTATTTTTTTAAATAATATAATTAACTTACAACTAATGCTGATTGATTTAGATTAGACGTAGTTTTTTTATTTAATTGTCGAATATATTCTTCATAACTATCTAATGCTTTAAGCTAAATAAATAAAAGAATATCATGTAAATTTTTTTTGATAATTAAGTATATATACTTTTGAACGAAGTTTTTTATAAATATGTTGTACATCTGATTGAAGACTTGATTCAAAAGAAGTTATTTTTTTAAAAAGATCTTCAAGTTGTGACATCATTTCACTATTACGAAAATCATATGGAAATGTTCGTGTCCATTGTGATAGAACATAAAGAAAATTATTCATTGTTCGAACACTTTGATCCTTTAAAAAAAAACAAATAAAATATAAATTAATATTAAAATAAAAATATTTTTCTTTCAATCATACGAATGTTAAATTTGTTATTGATTTTATTGTTAAACGTGCTAATTGATTAAATAATAAACTTGGTCGAATATTCATTCGTGAACACAAGAGCATTGGATAAATAAATGATTGCTATAGAAAGAAAAAGGAAGGAATTCAACAAAGGTTAAACAAAAAAAATTTTTTTTGTTTGGTGAAACCTTCGGAATATAAGTATCAGTTGGTACTAATCGTTGGATAAGTGAATCCATTGAATAATTTAAATAATCAAGTGACGGATCATCATCACTTGTTATTTGATTAGATGTTGAAAAATCAATTGATGGTATTGGAGAAAATGTTGCTGGAGTAGATATTGAAGGCTGAAAAAAAAAGAAAAGACAAATTTATAGAGTCCATCTCAAATTTACAATATGTATTTTGATCGTTTGTGTTGTACTCTTCAAAATGAAATGGACATCGCTGCTAATGTTCTATAAGGAGTAATGAGTGGGACCAATCGTTTTTGACTCCGGTCAGAAAAATTTTTAGTTCTGGTTTCGCACTTACTAACACATATACTAGCGAAAAATGCAATATCATTTTGTGAAAAACGATCTGAAAGGAGTGTTGAAGTGTATAGGGTAAAAATTTTTGGACCTACTTCCTTCTCCCTCCACAGACTGTGACAGAGAAATTCCACAACCATCACAGACCGTGACAGAGAACCCAGGAGACCATCACAGACCGTGACAGAGGACCCCCAGAAACCATCACAGACTGCGACAGAGAATCTTGAGAGATCATCAAAGGTCGTGATAGAGAATCCTTAGAAAACATCACAGACCATGACAGAAAACTCCAGAGAGACCATCACAGACCGTGACAGAGAACTCCTAGAGACCATCACAGATCGTGACAGAGAACCTCCGGACCCATCACAGACCGTGTCAGAGAACCCCAGAGAGACCATCACAGACCGTGACAGAGAACTCCCGGAGACCATCACAGACCGTGATAGAAAGACCATCACAAGATTGTGACAGAGAGACCATCACAGACCGTGACAGAGAACTCTCAGAGACCATCACGAACTGTGACATAGAAACTGTAGTTTTGAAGCATCAAATAAATGGTAAGCTACAAATCTATCTTGAAGAAATGGAACAAAACGATGTCCATTTAATTAGTAACAATAGGTCCATTGTGTTTCGCATTTTTAATTCCGCAAGGGATTGCGCTAATAGCTTTTTTATAAAGAGGCAATATTTGGATACATGTCAATGCTTAAAAGAATTTATTCATAAATCATAATTGTAATATAATCAGTGAAATTTTCTTTCGATGTCAATCTTTTATATAAAGTCTAAGATAAAATCTAATGAATTACTTGAAATACAGTTGATTGTCCATTTGTTTTAGGTGCTGATATAACTGAAAATGTTGAATCTGTTTGATCATTTGGTATGGCAGGTGTTGGTTGTCTAGATGGAATTGATGATAATGAATTATTATATTGATAATGACTAGTTGAATTAGTTGTTGATGTAGAATTTTGATATTGATAAATAGGAATATTTGATCGAACTTGAGCATGAATACGATCATAATATGCTGTTGAAGATAATCCACCATTTTCAAAATTATATACATTTAAATTATTTGGTGTTTGTTGTTGTTGTATATTATTATGTTGATTAAAATTATTTAATTTTATTGGTACTGGTCTAAATGTTTGTCCGGAATTAACATTATTATGTTTCGTAGATAAAAATAATTGATGAAGATGAACATTTGGTGTAAATGTAGATGGATATTGTTCATTAGAAGATGTTTGCATTGGATTATTACCAGTATAATAGCCAGTGGATGGATCATTACTATGCATAGTACCATTCATAATAAGCTATAAAAAAAAAAACAATAATACTCTATTGATACAAAGAAAAAAAAAATTATTTCATTCATTCATTCACTTAAAAACACGAATTATTCTTCGTTATTATCATATCAAATATATATATATACACACAAGACAAAAAAAAAAATGAAGAAAGCATGACGATATTTAAAAAAAAAATGAAAATTGATATCAATGATATTTTGAGCATTTGTCACTGACATTGGACGGTTTTATATCTCGACGTGCTCCATTAGTACTCCCAGTAGCACTTGTTTCTTCTGACCTGTCTGAAGATATATCTTCAACAATATGTTGTTGTTGTTGATCAGTAGATGAACGATATGAATATTTTTTGACGATTGCATCATTTGCATTAACTAAAGGTATAAGTTTTTTTTTATAAAGATGTGTTTTAGTTGATGATAATTGTTTAACATTATTCGTAACATCTTCTAATGTTTTGTTTGATATTAAAGATAATTCATCTGTATAAGATGATGATGTTGTTGATTTAGCACTATTAATTGGTTTTAAACGACCACTTGGGGGTCGCATAACATTTGATGTAGGTAAATAATTCGTAAAATATATTTCAGGTTGTTGTTGTTTTTGTTTTGTTCGAAATAATTTTTGACCAGCAACTGTTAAATCAAGTGCTGGTATAGATTCAGTTGAGCTTGATTTTGAACCTGATTTAAGTCGATTTGAGGTTGATTGAGATAAATCTTTATTAATTATTGTACGAATTTGTTGTTTTGATTTATTTTTAGATGTTAATTGTTGTTGTTGTTGTTGTTGTTGTTGTTCATCAAGAAAATGATAATCATCATACATTAAATTTTTATTTAATTGTTTAGAATTTGTTTGTTGTTGAAATCGTTTATCATTATAACGTGATAAAAGACGAGAATTTGATCTATCATATTCTAATAATTGATCATCATCATCAAAATCACCATCACTACCATGACCTGCAAGACTATTTGCATCACTTCGATCATCATTATCATCATCTTCAGAATGAGTTGAATTTATAATAATATGATTATGATTTTGTCGAAATTTTGATAAATTATTATTTTTAGTATGTGATATTGTTGAACTTTTCCGTGGTTTAATAGGTGGTCCATTAATTGAAATATTGGTTGATGATGATGATGGTTGATTTGAATCTTTTTCATTATCAGATCGAATTGATGATGAATTTGGATAATTTTTTTTACGTGAATATTGTTCAATTGATACACTAGGTAATAGATCATTTCCTATTGGTAATGATTTATTTAAAGGACGATAACCATTACGACGAATATATGTTGCATGACCATTAACTGGTGGTGTAGGTGTTACATCATAACTATTCATTTTTAATGTACTATTATTATTAAAACTAAAATTAGTTGATGGTCGACTATTAATATTATTATTTGAATTTTCACGTAAATAAACTTCAAAAACACTTCGACAAAAATAAAGACCACGATTTTGAGCATAATCTAAGGCAGAAATACCATGAATATCTTAAGACAATATATAATAAACAATTATTATTATGCGAGAAAAATATTGTTTTTTAATACCTTTAAGATGTGGATCAGCACCATGATCTAATAATTCTTTTAATACACGAGCATGACCATGTTTTGTTGCTAAATGAAGTGGAGTTTGACGACATTTATCACCATCATGTATGTAAGATTGATTATTTGTTTGTTCACTCATTTGAAATATAAGACGACAAGCATGAACAGAACCTTGTTCAGCAGCAACATGTAAACATGTTCGTCCATCATTATCACGTAATAAAATTGATTCAGATGATAATAAATATTTTAAACATTCTAATGGTTCTGTTTTTCTTGCACTATGATGAATCCATGTTCGACCATCATTATCTTTTTCTATGACATCATTCATATAACGAGATAATTCCTTTTTTGTTTTATTATTAAAAAAGAAAAGAATTAATTTTGTTTTTTGTTTTAGAAAAAAAAAATCTTACTTTAAAATGTTCATAACGATCAAGATGACATGCCCACATAGCTGGTGTCATACCATCAATATCTTTAATATGTATATTAGCATTATATTCAATTAATAATTTTAAACAATCAATATTTTCTCCTAAAACTGCCCAATGTAATGGTGAACGTAAATGAACATCTTGTTTAGTAACATCAGCATTATTTTCTAATAAAATTTTTACTATTTCAATATTTGAATGTTGTTCATTATCTGTATAACAAGCACGATGTAAACATGTTGAACCATCATTAGCTTGAATATTTATATTAATTGATAATTTATATTCATCTAATAAATAATTTAAAATATTTATTTGTTGATATTGTACAGCATAAGTTAATAAATCTCGTCCAAATGAATCAACACAATCAATTAATTCAGGTTCAGAATTTAATAATTCTTTAACATATCGTAAATCACCTTCACGTACAGCAACAATAATTGGTGATAAATTAACAAAATTATTTAATGAATGTTTTGGTATTATTTGTTTAACTTTATTTGATTCAACATCAATCCATGGCCATTGAAATTTATCGGGTAATTCACGAAATGGTGTTAATGGACTTAAACCACGTTCAATTGTCCATTGTAATGGTTTTTGTTCTTTATCACGTTTTTGTAATATTAAATAATATTGTTGTAAAAAATGAAGAGCATGTAATAGTGTATCACGTAAACGTGAACTTGTTTCTTCATCAGGTAATTTAAGTAAAAATTCAAGTATAGTTGATGATGTCTTTTGAAAATCTTTACGCTTAATAGCCATTATATAAATAAATATATCTATATATAGATTTTTTTTTTACTATAACACCCGCATCTATAATATAAATATAAAAGCTTATCAACCAAAACGACAAATAGCAACGTGAATAAACAATCAGATTGATGATTACGAATCAAAAAGCACAAAAAAAAAAGTTATAGAGAAAAAAGAGAAACAAAGAATAACAAAAAAGAAAAAAAAACTGAATGAATGAACTATAAAATTTTATTATCATAATTTTCATTTTATACGAATAATTACTCTAGATATAAAATTCTATATCGATTTTTTTTTCTTCTTAATGTTTTTATGACGAATGTCGAATAACATTGTACTTACTCTAATCAAGTATGTCTAGAAGAGTTTAAATATTTCAAGATACATTAGAAATATACAATAAGAGAAGAAGAAGAAGAAGAAGGAAAAAAAGGACATATATACGAACGATCGATGAACTTTTAAAGTTAATCGATAGACCGGTGATATGATGTAGAGCAATGCACATGCATGTAATTCGTCGTTGGCATGTGCAAGCAGAACTAATTTTATTCATAAAAGACAAGCAATTCTTTTATTTGATAAGTTCATATTCATTTTATCCGACATCATTTTTGTTCAATCCCTCGAGAGAAAACAACGAAGTTGAAATACGAAACTTTTTCTTCTTTTTCTTTTTTTTTTTCATACACATACCGTACACACACAATAACTTGAGTGTCGTTATGATGCAGGAGAGCTACCTTATCGTCACTTACTGCTTCAATGTTGAATGAAAATGCAGAGAAACATAAGAAAAAAAAAATAAAGAAGAGAACAATATTATGCAAAAAAAAAAAAAGAAAAATTTTGCCCAAATTTCTCGTTCAATAAAAATAAAAAAAAAAGAAAAGAAAGGCAAGGTGATTTTTATTTTAATCGAATTATATAATACAATAAATAGATTATAATAAATATGTTTCTTTTGCACATGTAATCATTGTTGAAAATAATTTCATAAATGCTGTATCTTTTGGTCGTTGAAGTCCACGTTCTAAACGATTTTTCATTAAATGTATAAATTCAACATATGATAATAATTGATCTTCATTTTCATCAAATATTGTAAATACAACATCAATTAAATGTGAATCAAGTTCAATATGATTAACTATTTTAGCAACATGATGAAATATTTGTTTATCTATAGCACCACCAGCTATATGATAAAATGTTAATGCAACATCAGTATCATGAATATTACAAAGAAAATTATGAAAATTTTCATAATCATTAAATGATATACCAATTGATTTTGTTTCATCATTAATTGGATAAGCTTTTTTAACACGTTTTAACATTCTTTTTATACGTTTATCCGATAAACCTGAATATGCAAGTAATGATTCTGCAAAATCTACTTCTGTCATACGGGTTTTATCATTAGGACATTTAGTTGAACGATTAAACTCTAATCGTAAAATTTCATATTGTAATTGTTCATAAAATTGTAAAAATTTCTCAATAGTTAATAATTGATCAAGATTTTCTCCGAAAAAATATCGATTAACAATAGATGTTTCTCGTAAAATATTTCCTGTTGTTGAATGATCTCGATGTCTTTGTCCAATAGATGTTTGTTCACGTATTAAACCTTTTAATTTTGTAAATTCATCAAAATCAAAATTTCCATTACCATCTAAATCAAACATTTGAAATGCTATTTGAAAATAACGTTTTGGTGTTGATAATAATGTAACAAGAAATACATAATCACTAAATGTAATTAAACATTGTTTACCACCAATACGTTCAAATATTGATATTTGATCAGAACTTAAATCTAAATAATATAAATGTGTATTTAAATGTTCAAGTTTTTCCCAAGGATCAACACGTGAATCATAACGATAAAATTTATCAAGTTCTAAACCATCGGGTTGTTTCAAACCTGTAGAAAAAAAAAATTATTTTAGAAAAAAAATCTATTTTTTGAAATATACCGGGTGTAATCGATCGAAGAAAATCATCTGGTGTCATACAGATAACACCTTTAAATAGAATATTTTATATATATATATATTTTAATCTAAATTTTGTAAAATTTACCTTCAGGATTGTCATCACTATAGACTTTTAATGTGGCAAAATAACGAAATATTTTATCTGGTGTTGAATAAGCTCGTATACGATTTTCATAAGCAATTTTTTTCTTATCACGAAATGATAGTTTTGTTTTTTGTGATTTTTTTTCGGATTTTACTACTTTATGAGTTTCCTAAAGTAAAAAATAAAAATCAATCAAATTAAATCTTTTCTTTTTACGTGATGAAAATAAAATATTTCAATTATTCTCTTTAAAGGACAAGAAAATATTGTACGCATTTTATCATAAGTAAATTATTCATGAAATGGAATAAAAATTATTTCATCTCTTCTAATTGAAGTATTACTGTAGGAATAATGCATGAAACGTAATTGTCTAGTTGAACTAATCAATAATACGCATTTTCCTTTTTCTTAAATTATGTAATAATAAATGCATGTTTCCCGTAAAATGAATTAAAAGAATGTGATAGACAGAAATTTATTTATTACATAATGATTCTTTTCTATTATATTTAGAAAAGGAAATCAGAATAAATGTATTATAGATCGATCAAGTATAAATAATGACATAAGAAAAGAAATCAACACTACAATGAGTAAATTGTCATTTTTAAATTTAAGTATATAAAAATTAATAAAAGGTTGTTAAAATTTAATGAACTATTTCAGTGTCAACTCATTATTATGTAGTGTCAATTGAAATGTGTCATAGTAGGTGGCAAATTATAGACAATTTACAAGCGAATTGAAGTGAAAACACAATTTTAAGGTACCTTTGGTTTTTCTCTATCAAAGATCGCTTTTAATATATATTCAAATAGTGATTTCGATAGCTCTCGGAATGAACTACAAATCTATTATATCGAAAACATTAACAATGAATCAATTCAGTTTTTATGACAAAAACTATTTTTGTGCAGCGAAAAAAACTTGAAATGTTTGCCACAAATCGCGGAGCAACCACCGAAGGTCATCACACAGTAACAGAAGGTGTGGGTGTGAGTATGAGTGTTTATCTACTTTTCAGACATAGCCACACTCACAGTTACTTCGTTACTGTGTGACACCCCTCGGCGGTTGCGCTCTTATTTATGGCACTTTTTGTATTTTATCAATTTTGTCCTTGTCGAAGAATAGGAAACATTTCGAAATATATATTATTAGATCCAGAATTGAACGGACTACATTTTGGTATAAATATTTTTTCGAAAAACTATTGATTATAATAATTAAATATGAATTATTATTAATTAACAGATGTAGAAAAATCTTACCATAATTTTCAGTTTTGAAGTATACTGTAAGAAAGAATATTGAAAATTAAACAAAACCGTATGTTGCTTGTTTTACAACAACTGGGGCAGAAGTGGAAAACCTCGCTGCTTACGCCTTTGCTACATTGGTTAAAGCTTGGAAAGCGCGTGCTCACAGCATCCTGATGTTTCGGAAACTTTGAGAATCTAATTGGTAGAGCAAATAGAGGCAGAAGTGTGTGAGGCGCGGGACGATTTTTTCTATCTCTGAATCGGTCTTAATGAGATTTCTTAAGCAGTTTTTAGAATTTAACTAATATTGTATTAGTAATTAAGAAAATTGAGCTTTAAGAGAAAGTTTCAAAAGTCTGAAAAACAGTGTATGTTATAGAGCAGAGTTTGCTCTATAGAACAAGGCCTAGCGGGTTTTTGTACAATACGTTATTCGTGAGATACAGCGTTTTGAAAATAGTTTAGCTAAAACAAGGTAAAAAATAGCTAGAAACCATTGCTGAAATTACTGATAAATATTAGAAACGTTGTCCAATTTGAAGATTACGTCGTAAAAAAGGATGATAGGGCTCGTTCGATAGAACAAACTCTACTCTACAAAATACACTATTTTTCAGAATTTTGAAGCTTTTCCTTAAAGCTTAATTTTCTCAATTACTAATACAATATTAATTAAATTCTAAAATAGTGCTTAAAAAATCCGATTAAGATCGATATAGAGATACAGAAAAAAATCATCCTGTGCCTCGCATACCTTTATCTCTTTTTGCTCTACCAATCAGTTTCTCAAAGTTCCTCGAACATTGGGATGTTGTAAGCATGCGCTTCCTAAAGCTCTGACCAATGTAGCATAGGTATGAGCAGCGGCGCATGGCGAGTTTTTCCATCTCTGGACTTGTTGTTGTAAAACAAAATCACACGGTTTGTTTAATTTCCAATGTTCTAATCTTACGGTGTACTTCAGAACTGAAAATTATGACAAGATTTTTCTACATCTGTTAATTAATAATAATTTATATTTAATTGTTATAATCAATAGTTTCTCAAAAAAAAATATTTATACTAAAATGTAGCCCGTTGAATTTTGGATCTAACGATATATTTTTGAAATGTTTTCTATTCGTCGACAACAGAAAAATCGATAAAATACAAAAGTGCCTTGAATTTTTTTTTTTACTAGACAAAAACAATTTCTGTCATAAAAACTGAATCGGTTCACTGTTGGTGTTTTCAATACAATAGATTTGTAGTTCGTTTCGAGAACTATCGAAATCACTATTTGGATGTTTATAAAAAGCGGTCTTTGATGGAGAAAAACGAAAAATAAAAAATGTCTTAAAATTTTGTCTTCCGTTTTACCTAAGGTATCCACATCTGTCTTGATTCATTCGATAGAGTATATAGAGAAAAGAAAAATGGTTCGAGCCTATGAGTTATGACCGTTTTACTAGAAGCTAGGCATTCTGAAGAAAACTAAAATGAAGAGTTTGCGATCTGAAAAATTTTGCTTATTAACATAGATTGTATCGAAAATAGGCAAAACTTCAGATCGAAACTCTTCATTTTAGTCTGTTCGAAATACCTGGTTTTCAATAAAACGGTCATAACCCCACGTCAGTACGTCATACCCTCGAACCATTTTTCTCCTCT